GTATTGTTTTTACGTTTTCCTGTAATTTTTCATAAAGTGTACCTAATCATACGCCCTTCTTCTAGAGACCAATTCGATTATTATCAAGGACTTGGGGGAGTTGGAGCTTTTCTTTCCCGGTGAGGCGTTCGGTGAATCGAATGAAGAATTATAACCATCGGTACGCTGGAATTCGTAACACATTGCCGTACGGAGCCCGAGTATATAGGAAGAGATATAAAATATTTATACTCTCTCGGTTCGACGGGAACAGTATATCCGACATGCAAGCTGACACGATCAATCGATCTTAACTGAGTTGTCGCAATGGGGGAAATGCTATTCGGAAAGAAGGATTCTGAAAGCTGCAGGCAGAAATAAGCCAATATTTCCGGTCTTGTACCTCTAGACGGAAATTTTTTTATAGAATTTGCATTCAATTAATGGTAACTATAATATTATTGATACAATGTATTAGTAATAACTTTTATTATTGATGACTAATAAATTATTGACATCAAAAACCTTTCAAAGTCATCAATAATTCGTATTAACCCTCGGTGCACCGTTCGGGTCAATCTGACCCGAAGCCAATCTTCTAATAAATATTTTGCATTACAGAAATCTGTAAATTAATTTCACACCAATAGTTTACATATACTATAATCTAGCGATAAAAAGAACAGTAACATAATAATCCATCGAACAGTATTCGAGGGTTAAAAGATTCTGGCCGTGCAAAGAACTAAAAGCAGACGTGGTGGTAATAAAGATGAAGGTACTATACAATCAAAGCGTACGAGTAACAGGAATCTCCCCGAGGAGAACGCTATCACGAGCGCGCCGATTGAAATTTCTGTACGCGCGGGTACAACGTGCCTTCCCCAATAAAGTAACTTGCAACGATCCGGTGTGTCGGGACGAGTGCCAGGTGGGAAAACGGGAACGCGTCAGAATCTGTCGCGGCGCGACTAAAAGAAGAAGAAAAAAAAACTCGTTGCCGTCCCCAGTCCGGCACGTACTCCGTAGCCGGGACTAATAAGTAATAATTGATTTCAAATCGGTCGACAGTCCTGGGGAAGGTTTCTACGTGATCGTGGTGTCGAACGGGAGACAAGCGGACAAATGGGTTCCCCGCTATTAAAGATCCTAATTAGCGAACCTCGTTAACGGCTACGTGGACTAACGGACGCGTTTCAGAGAAACCGGAACAACCCCATAAACAATCCAATTCTATGTACAAGAAACACGAAACTAGTCCTACGGATCGGGGAGTTCAAATGGCCTTGGGCAACGGTGAACGAAAGCTATTAGAATTCAGTGGACTCTAACTATATTGCCACTGAACATATTGCCACGCTAGGCACTTCCCCTTCACAGGTACTTTGGAACACACGCACTCGCTCTCCCCACCACGTTACGTACGTCGGCGCACCAGCTCGATCAAGCTTCTGCGCAGGCGTTGAAGCCCGGGCTATGACGTCAGAGCTTAGCATGGAGGGGGCTCTGAACTCATTGCCATTTTACTCCCCTACAGCCCCGACCATGGCAATATACAGACTCCTCTCGATTATCGTCTGGCTTGTCTTACACGATTATTGTCCAGGTGTTATTCCCACCACTGAGGGGGAGGCCGTAGAACATGTCAAGCGCATACTTTGTTGCCCCTTCGCTTGCTGACTTCTAGGAATTACCGGTCATAAATGTCAACGATAAGTCTTTTGTGAGTGGAGTTTGACTTTGAAATCCAACTGGATCCCTAAAATACATAATCATTGTTGCTTATCAACATGAAGGTGAGACGGCATAACGGAGAACACTCTTTCGATTGTAATTACACGGTGAAACGGGACGAATACTTGCACTACCGCGGTTTACGATTATTGATATCGAAGTACTTGGAGGTAAAATTATTAATAGACCCGGAGGGGGGAGAAAAAACGGCTGCGAAGACGGTCTCAAGGATGAGAGTCGATTAGCTAAGCGGCACAAGATTTCTGCTCGTAATTACACTCCTATTTAGATTTATCAACGTTTACGCTGCAATCTAAAGTCGTGGCTTTTTTTTTTAATTCTGCGGTAATTAACGCACAGACAGTTTGTTAACACAGCTGCAATTTCGAGTACTGTTGTATCAGCGGTACTTTTTGCGTAAAATTTCTAACACGCTAAAATCCCATAACACGCTACGTTCTTTCTCGGTAAAATTTCGCGGACACATGAAATCGGGTATGTAAATTACTATGTATAAAGCTTTCTACTAATTATTTTTTAATACCGAATTACACGACACAACATGTTGAACAATTTTTCATGATGGTTATCATGTGTATTATCGTCATGAACATTATTTTTCGAGAAACACGAAAGAGTCACAAATACTTCTACGGTATACCGTTGGTGTAACCTTTGCGGGCGTCTAAATGGTTACAAGAATAATATAACTAGTGGTGCAAAACCGAAAATTATCTTTATCTACGGAGTTGTCGAGTTTGGAGTATCTTCCAAAGACTACAGTCATCACATCAACCTTAAAATCTCTAGAAAGTCTTCCTTTCTGAGGAATCCTCTAAGGTCTTTTGAGGTTCTAGGAGGAATCTTGTAAGAATTTATGAAGTTTTAGGAAGACTCCTGTGAAGGCCTTAGAGAATTTCGTTCAGGACCTCTAAGGTTGATAGTTTCTCTGAGAACATCCAAGATCAGTTGAGAGTTTCTGTCTGAGCTACAAGACCTCATTTAAGGATTCCTCTATCATTCTCTGAGATCCTTAGAGGGTCTCTGAAGACATTGACGAAATCATTCCAGGACCTATGTGACCCCTGCAAGGTTTTCTCTTAGACCCTCTGGAGTCCTTAAAGGTCTCCCTAAGGATCTCTGGAATCCTAGAAATGTTCCTCTAATATCGTTAGAGGCCCCTAGAAAAACCTCAAAGGTCCATAAAGGGTTCTACAGAGATCTACCGAGAATCTCATAAGATTTCACAAATTGTAAGAACTTTCGATTTTTAATGATTTGAATGGACTTTCTACAAATAAGGAGAAATTTCATGCCCAACCTTGACTACAGTTGTAGAATCGATACCAGGAACACAAGTGAAATGAAATATACATCGAGCAGCCCGCACGATTTCCAGTAATAGCGAGTAGATAATTAAGTAGGACTCGTAGATGCACCGCTAAAAATAGACGTCATCTCGTAGGTCGTAGGGAGATGGAATCGTCCGTGAATTTATCAACGTGTCCCATGGCAAGCTGATAGGCGATAGAGTTACTAACGTGAGTGATTCAACAAAATTTCGAATTTAACCATACGTTGCAACATTGCAAGAGGGAGACAATTTGGTAAAACAAAAATCATGAAATTACTCAAAATGTTCTAACTAACGTTGAAAATTCAGAATATGATTTAATCATATAAACGGTAAGTGTTCACAGTCATCAATCTATCATGAAGATACGGTGTAAATAAAAAAAACGATTAAGACCATAATTGTTACTTCCTTTCAGTTACAATTTATCCAAAATTCATTTAACGTCCTCTCGGTTTATAAGTCGCCCCTACAATACCGTTATCGCTTGATAAAAACCATCCAACCCTTACAGTTATCGCATCCACAATTACCTATCATAAAAACTTTTTAAGAATAGGTACTCCCCACAATATCGGTACCCTTAACAAGCATCCACCAAGCGACGAGATCGATAAACAAGGCGTCAATCTTCTGACTCATCCCCCCATAATCACGTTATTTCACCACCACAGCGTGTACCCGTTTCTGCATTCAGTGACGTAGCCGCGAGTCTAAATCCCCCGGCCAGCGGAAAATACGCTGACACAAAGCGTACACAGCGCAACCCCTATTTATGGCGGGCGACGCTCCGTGGCGCTTAAACGCGCCGCTTTCGCGTCATGTATAATACTGTGTACCCGTCACTGTTCGTACGGACCCACAGAAAGGGGTTTCCGCATCAAAAAAATAAATTGAAAATCTGAAGTCATTTTTTTCATATGTTTCCGTTTTCAAGAAAATTGAATTGGATGCACGGACATATATTCACGTTACTTAATATATGTCCATGCATCTGACAAATAAACAACTTAATTTTCTTGATAACGAAGTTTTCTCTTGGTAGAAAAGACATGGTGTGATCGTTGAGTCGATCAAGAATTAGAATTATGCTCCTTATTGTCATTGGAATAAAACAAAATGGCGAGAAATATGGGATGTTAAAGGTCTTGGGCCCTACTCAGTGACGCAATCTGGGCTTCTGAATCGATATTTTTTTTTTCTACGACCTAATGTCTTCATGGTCTAACATCGTTTAATTATTACTGTTAATGTTTTCAGGTGTAAATTTTACCCCAAATTTTGGAAAAAGTATCCCAACGTTCAAAAGACCGTAGTTCCAACAGGAGTCTCCAGTGACACATTTGATACAGTATCAACTGATGAAGCTAGCTACAAAGCTTGTGAAACGTTAGTGGAACTATTCCAAAAGGACACAGCTGATACCTGGCAGCCTCAACAGTAATACCTGAGTGACACCTGGTCGCCAAAACTTCGAATCTCTAAATAATAACTGCATATATTTTCGTTCTAATCCAACGTTGACAATTATTTAACGAAACTCGAAAAACGTAAATTCAAATTTTCACTTTCTTTACTAGCGTCAGAATTATCATTAATTACTACTACTGCCTTCCTGATGCAATAATACGGAACGATGTGTACAGCCCTGTATTCTGCGGCACCAATAGGACCCGCTGGTCAAACGACAACACTACATCGTTTCCACAGAGCACAATTTCGCATCTATTTAGAATTCTCCTCGATTATAAAACCCAGTTACAGGACACCCTGTATACATACACGCGTATAATAGAACAGCCCATGCGTTGTCGTTTCGTATCCACTCCGCCAGTGACTGATTTAACGATACTAAGAATAAAACTCACGAGCGCGCATTGGAATACGAGACACAACGTGGGCGGTGGTAAAATTTCAGGGAAAAAAAACTCACCGTGGCTTCTTCATGGCTTGTCGATCGGCCTAACTCGACGTGTCACGTGTCCCGCTCGTACGTCATCGGGGGTCGTCTCATGGCAGACACGAATCGCGTCCGAAGGGCACGGGTACACGATCGAAATCGACGAATCGTTCGATCGTACGTAAAAAATGATTCCCTAACTCCGTTTTCGCGCGACTCACGCTGCTCCGATTATCCTTGCTCGCTCAATGTCTCTGTTTCCAAACCAAAAATTTCCCCTTATCTCTCTCGCTCCGTGGGTCACATTACACACTCCGTTTCAGTCTCTCCCGTGTACCAGCCACCGAAGGGACGTGCTGTACGGTAGGGAACGCGAGAAGGAAAACTCTGGCAACGTCGCCTCGCTCACTCGCTCGCTCTTTCGTCTCCTCTTCCCTCCGTTACGTCGTCGTGCTCGTCGATCTACACCCCGTGCCGCTGCACACTTTTTCTCATTCTTCCTCGCCTCGTTCACCGTCCGTCTGTCCTCTTTCAATTTCCAACACGGACGACGGATCTCGCGTACGTGCTACACACACCATAAACCACAGGCACACGCGCGAGCGCGCGCGCGCGCGCGCGCAACCGTTCGAGAGAACGAAACAGCGTGCACGGGACGTTACGCACACCGACACGGCCACGCTTTCAGCGTATGAGTCGCGCGCACCGCGGCGAACTATCGAAAGATTCGGAACTCCTACTTGTCTTTTTTTTTTTTTCGATCGAAACTATAACCCGTTAAAGAACAACCATTTAGATGCTCTCCCCACGTACCGTTGGTAATTACACGATTTTTCGTATATATACACTCTCGTGTCACGTATCCGCAACGGAGCAGGACTAACGAACTGGTGTATCACTCTTTGCCTATCCTTGTCTAACTCGTGGCCCGTGCGTGCAGTCTGTCTCACTCAGCCGCGACAGAACACAGTCCCTCTCAGTCACGGAATTGTTTTGCACCCACTTTAACGCGCACAGTTTGTTAAACACACGATTAATCAACGCCGTACGAACAACCAGAACACGGGACAGGTTTTTACGCGCGCGGCGCCTCGCGCACCCCTAAATAATCCACCATGTTACGGTGTCACCTTCGGAGGTAATCTCACTTGCTGGCGGTGGCGGAAGCCATATTGCGATCGCCGTTCGTGACACCGCCAGAGCGCCAATCGTCGAACGGACGAGGGGGACTACGCGTACGCCGATTGGTCGAGCTCACCTGTTACCAGGCCGCCATCTCGCGGGAACTGGCGATATCGAACCACGGCGCGATATTACCGACGCGTACCGGAGCATGCGAGTCGCGACCGTCGTTCATTCGATATTCCTGTTTGCTTTTTACTATGTAGACCGATGATTGTATATACATATTTATAACATACCAGATTGTCTAAGATTCAACACTTTAAAATGTTCAATAGGACTTTTACTTTATTTGAAACTCGACAAAGCTTTTGGAGCAAACAATTTTTTGCTTGGATCTTGTTTTTTGTAAGTTGTATGTTTGTACAAATATTCTCTGTTTACTCATTCCTATTCAGTGATGCTGCAATATTCTTTTTTTTTTTTGTAGAGTTTCAATTCACGGCCCTATTTTTGCGGTTTATATTTTCTTTTTCATGTAATATATCTTTCTGCTTCTTTCATGTTTTCGTAAGATGATTTATGAAGATATTACTGTTATATAATGCATATAGTGAATAACAAAAGTACTTATACTATGGGATACTCGAAATTTTAATGTAAATATAAGCGATTGTACAAATATTATTATGTCAAACTAAATTTATTGTACAAAATTTATTACAAAACCCCTGTTTCCAATGCGTTCATTGTTCGCTGTATATAAATCTACGATTATTCATCCTACTCACAATATTGTTCTTTACCATTTCAATTGTTCCACAATTAACCGTCTTTTTCAATAACCGTAACAGTTCGTTAGAAAGAAAACAAACGTTAATTCGTACAATTTAAAGCATCCCCAGACACGTAATTCAAATTCCCAATCTGGCAACTTTACGAATGCAAAGCCACGGCAGATAATGTATACAACACGTATGCATCGAATAACAAATATTAATCGTTATCTTTTCAAGCCGTTACTTAATTATCCAGATACTCCGATATATGACTTCGCGGGGGATCGAACCGTATTATCCGCCCGACATTAACGCGATTAATATTTATCATCACGGACGATCTTTCATAAAAAAAAAAAAACAGAAATTCATTTCTGTGTACACAGAAATGAAACGGATCGTCGCAACAAGTCATTATTTGCGGAAGGATGTTAAATATTCCTCGCCCACGTCCCCTGACAGAAGGTGAGGCCAATTTAGGAGAACCTCGATGTATTGCCGCCGGAACGTATGCAATCTACACACGGGAGAATGTTTTTTATCGGGGTCTCCGGTTGCGATAAGATTGCCGTTTGTTAATACCTCACGAATATATGAACACAATGTATGCTGTATCAACTAATAGCCGGCGTAACGAATACGGCTGCGAAGCATCGAAATTCTGATTACTTCTGACCACACAGGAAACACTTCGCCGACCACACAGCAGCTGAAAAACAGGAAACTCCAACACTGCGGTCTAATATTGTTCCACGGCGGAAAGTAGACGAATATCGTCGCGGGCTCGAGTGTCGAAAATCATTGCGTTTTGGAGGCGAGTCACTATTTCCCAAGAAGTAAACAGGACTAAAAACCGGATAGGGGAAACTTCACGGTCAACTTCTTGCCCCGGGGACTATATTTTGTAATTTTTACTGCTCTCTTAATCTGTACGTTTAATCGCTTTTTTACTGTCTGTTATTTTTAGGGGTCTGTTTTGTAAACTTGAGATTTTGTAATTGTGTCCGATATTTCGCGTTAGTCTTTGTTTAGTTGAACAGTTATACCAATATGCGATGAGGATTTCATACAAATCATAGATAATTACTGATTTTTACTTTATTTTGATGTATTTGATGTTAGACGAATCATGAGAACTTTACATATCTGACGAATAAGACTTTATAATTATATAAACATTTTATTTATTGGTTTTGTAAAAGACGAATTACTCCAATTTTTATTAGGCATCTGCAGGTGTCACCTTGTTTTAGTCTGTGACGTAAAGTGAGCAATTTAGAATCTATTTCGTCATTCTACTTCGTAAAACAGCTGATAGGAGCTCTGGTTTAATCTACCTTCAACGATAAACATTTCCTACAAATAACTCTTGGAAATATTTGTTTAAATCAATAGAGACTGAAAATAACAAAATTGTCCATATTGGATTCATCACTTGAGCTATGACAATTGGAGTGTTAACATCTAAACAGGAATAATATCCATTTGAAATACAATACGAGATGGAGTCAAATAAGATCGACGTATTAAACATAATTTTTTTCAAGTCGTTCAATTGCAAGTGCTAATTGTCCGATTTTTCCCCACTTCGATTTTAACGAAATCCTAAAAAATCTTCACCAGAAGCTACCTAATCTACGGAGTACCATCTACGGGCCCCGTGTCCCAAACTTTCGTGTCTACTGATATCACTCGAATCAACGGTTCGTCCATTTCCCGTCCACATTTTATCACGCGGATCAATAACTCACGAGATTATTCAACTATCAAGATCACAGTTATCGCGATCAGTCCTTATTCTCTTTTTTATGTCGACATTTGTATACAAATATTCGTAGCTGGATCAACCGTGGAGAAAGCATTTTCTGAGCTGCTTAGGAAGATTTCGCGATAGCTCGACTTCTCCGAACCCCGCCAGTCTCCACGAGGGAATAAAAGGGGGAGAAAGACCAGGTCGGAGGATTATGCAAATGAAAATCGACGGTCATCGACAGCGTCTTTCGAGCAAATTACTAATTTACAGGCCCAGAGAATCGTCTTAATCGGGACATCAGAGGGCACGAAGGGGGGCAATTTGGATTGCACGACGAAACAGCTGTTCAGATGAAGGCGGGGCTAAGCTTCTTTTGAATTTCATAAACGCGGGAGATTCGAATTACTAAGGAAACGCCATGGGAAAGACGCAACTCTGTTTGACCGCACAGTGGAACATTTTACGAATCTAACTGGACAAAAATAGAAAAATTTTCAGACGCCCATTAAATTAATTTTTTTTGCGCCATAAAAAGTTTTCCCTGAATATGTCATTAAATACTTAAGAACTGAATTTGAAATCAGGCTGAAACCAGGCAAACAACAGACGTCAATATTATTTGTTTTCAGTGCTACAGTATGGACGTGTTTAAGTGGCAATAAGTTTGGTGGACAGGAGACTATTTAGATGCAGGCAGATGCTTTTAATTGGATATTTCCGTTCTGTTTAATCTTTATTACTTTGCGTTTGGCAACAGTGTAACTTTTACCCTGCAAGATATTCGCAATAGCCGTACTAAACCTACACTTCGATTGCTGTGGATTTTCACAATTGTTCTTTATCAATGTGAAAGAGTATCTCATACTCTACCAAATTTCGTTCAGATCGTAACATTCATACAGCTGTCCACTAAGCGTATCAGAAGCAAAAATAACTTGATTTTCAAAGAAAAGCTTTTAATAAACAAGGGAAAGGAATGAAGAAAGAAGAAAAATGCAAAAAAAAAATTAAGAAATAGGATTTGATAAAATCATCATCCAAGGCTATTAAAAGGAAGTTGTTCCCAGCGAGACGAGAAGAAGCAAATGATTTAAGCAGTCAGAAAGATTAAAATAATGAAATTACATACATTCTTAGGGTTTTGAAACTTGCCTCCTCCCAATGTGATGAAAATTATTACAGTTCAACCCTTTCTTCAGGTGACATTATGAGTGACCATATTACGTCCTAAACGATATTCCATCCGATTACCCTATATCAAATTTACAAAATCATGATAGAAAAAAAATTAAAATATTGCCTACAATTATGCTTGGCCACTAGATCAGTTCGTCGCCAAAAGATTTTAACACTTTCTTCAGATGGCATTATGAGTGGCCATATTACGTCTTAAACGATATTCTATCCGACTACCCTATATCGAATTTACAAAATCATGACAGAAAAAAATTAAAATATTGCCTACAATTATGCTTGGCCACTAGATCAGTTCATCGCCAAAAGATTTCAGCACTTTCTTCATCAGATATTACGTGAAAATATCTTTATAACCATCTATATATATCTTTCATAAAAAAGTTCAAATATCTCCGCAACGTCTAGGTATTCGTGTCCAACAAAGATTCGTGAAACGGACCTAGAGAGCGACATGTCAAGACGACACGCGTGCCGGGGCCACGCTGAGCAGATTTATCCGCGTCAGCTTTCGCGAGTAGATCGCGTCCTTCGTCCGTACCGACCATCAAATCGATCAACGAGGATTTACGGTCCCGGACCGTAAAACAGCGAGCTTCTACCCGTTTGTGTCCACGGTCGACCTGGGACACACACACGCATACACATGCCGGTGCAATAAGTCTGCTCTTCTCGCCCCATCTTACGCGCGCGCCACTCGTAAGGCCGTTTTAACGACGAATTCGTGTGAGCAACACCTTGCTCCCGCAGTACCAATTACTAATACCGGTCTGGAGGGGAGGGGGGGATGGGGACCTAGGTACGTAGCACGGGTCGTGTGCGCGCGAGGGCGTGCA